TCCAGTGGTGAGAATCTTTGTCTTCTTGACATTGAGCCTCAATCCATATTGAAGGCTGCAGTCCTTGACCCTCTGCAGCAAGCCCTTCAGGTCCTCCTCAGTTTCAGCAAGCAAGGTTGTGTCATCTGCATAACGCAGATTGTTGATAGACCTTCCACCAATCCTGATGCCACATTTCTCTTCATAGAGCCCAGCCTCCCAGATGATCTGTCCTGCATACAAGTTGAAAAGGTATGGAGACAGGATGCATCCCTGGCGTACGCCCTTCCCAATTTTGAACCTTGCAGTGTTTCCTTGCTCTGTTCTGACAACTGTCTCTTAGGTCTAAGTATAGGTTTCGCATTAGCACGATCAAGTGTTCTGGGATTCCCATTCTTCTCAGAGTCAGCCACAGTTTGTTATGGTCCACACAGTTAAACGCCTTTGCATAGTCAATGAAATACAGATAGACATTCCTCTGGTATTCCCTGATTTCAGCTAAGATCCAGCTAACATTAGCTATAATATCCCTAGTACCACGACCCCTTCTAAACCCAGCCTGGACTTCTGGAAGTTCTCTGCTAATGAGCTGTGCCGATCGTTTTTGGATAATCTTCAGTAGAATATGGCTTGCATGTGAAATCAGTGATATTGTTCTATAGTTTCTGCACTCTGTTGGGTCACCCTTTTTTGGGATGGGAACAAATATAGATCTCTTCCAGTCAGTTGGCCAAGTGGTTGTTCTCCAGATTTCTTGGCACAACCTGGTGAGCTTGTCTAGGGCAGCATCTGTTAGCTGAAACATGTCAACTCGTATACTATCTATTCCTGTGGCCTTATTTTTTGCTGTTTCCTTCAAAGCAGCTTGAACTTCTTCCTTCATCACCATAGGCTCTTGCTCATATGTTGTTCCATTAAATTCTTCTGTGTCTGACAATTCCTTTCAATACAGTGACTCAGTATATTCTTTTCATCTTCTTTTAATACTTCCTGGGTCATTTATTACTCTGCCTATAGCATCCTTGATTATAGCAACTCGAGGTATATATATATAAATAGTGCAATATTTGCTCTTTTGTGATTGACTTATTGACTTATTTCATTCAGTGTAATGTTTTTAAAAGATACTCAAATTGTGTTCTGGGATTCCCATTTTTCTCAGAGTTAGCCATAGTTTGTTGTGGTCCACACAGTCAAAAGCCTTAGCATAGTCAATGAAACACAGACACTCTTCTGGTACTCCCCGCTTTCAGGTAAGATTCCATCTAACATTAGCTATAATATCTGTAGTACCATGACTTCTTCTGAACCCATTCTGCACTTCTGGCCGTTCTCTGTTGATGTGCTGTTCCAATCATTTTTGTATAATCTTCAGCAGAATCTTGCTTGCATGTGCTATTAATGATATTGTTCGATAAATTCCGCACTCTGTCAGATCACCTTTCTTTTGAATAGGAACTCACAAACTTCAACTTCTCCATTATACTGAGGCCAGAAGAATTAGATGGTGCTTGGCTACTACTCATTTCCATTTGCCTGTATTTCTTATTCTTCTTTCTTTCTGAGATCCCTGGGGAATGCTGTCCTTTTTAATCTCATATGGTTGATTGTTCCAAAGAGTGAGTACTTCCCTTGTTGTGATGTTCACTCTTGTGGGTGTATACTTTTTGACAGAAAATTGAGCCCCAGTGTCAGTTCCAGGCTTGAAGGATGATGAAAAGACTTAGAGGGTTCTACTGATCTCTGTCAGACCAATATATTTGGTCATTTTTATTATTTTGAGTTTTGTTCCACATTTTTCTCCTACTCTATCCAGGACTTTCTACTCTAATCTTTTTTCAGAGTAGTCAGCAACAGTAGCCAAGCACCATCCTAATTCTTCTGGCCTCAGTATAATGGAGGTTGAAGTTTGTGTGTTCCATTAGTCTTTGGACTAATTGTTTTCTTTCATCTTTCGTTTTCTTCCCTCTCTGCTCCAGACAGGGAGAGAGACCAATAGTTGGAACCTTAAATGAATATTCACAGGCTTTTAAGACTTCAGTAATTTCTACACCAAAGTAAGGTATTGTCTTTATGGACTTGAGACCCCAGGAGGAACCCTTAGGATGTTTTTAATTTTTTGAGAAACCACTACACAGTTTTCCACAAGGGCTGTATACCATTTTGTATTCTAACTGATAATGGATAAGGGTTACATTTCTCCACATACTCACCAACATTTATAGTTTTCTCTTTTTTAAAAAAAATCGTTTAAAAAAAAAATCTTAACTTTCTTTAAACTCACTGCTGATGGGTTAGTTCTTACTGAAAGAAGCCACCTTAAACCTTTCCCACCCCCTTAATTTATGGATCTCTGAGGCTGTCTGTTGTAACTGGAGGAAGTTGCCTGTTTTTCTCCCAAGGAGCCTGGTTCAATTGTGGTTTTGATTTGCATCTCTCTGGTAACTAATGAGGTTGAGCATCATTTTATGTCCTTGTTGACCTTTCCAATATTTTCTTTGTTGAAGTAGCTATTCAAGCATTTTGTCGGTTTTTGATTGGGTTGTTTGGCATTTTTTTATAATTAAGGTAAGTTATTAGATTCTCACTAGATACATGGTTTTAAAGATAGTCTCCCAGTTGGGCCCTTTTCTTTTGACTTTTTTGTAGTCTTTTGTTGACCAAAATATTTTCTTTTTATGAGTCCTGTTTTGTGTTTTTTTGTTTGTACTTTAAAAAAAAAAGCCAAGAAGTTTGTTTAAACAACAAGGCACTTGGCTTGAAGGGCAAACTATCTAGGATTCATTTCTCTTAGAGTATTTTACCCTTACTTAAGGACAGATTGTCCTACATATAACAGCTATGTACAGAAGTTATAAAATTGTCCTTGGTTTTTCAATGATAAATGAAAAACATTAAAATTCTCCAATCAAACAAGGTATGTAAGAATTTTTTTTAATTTTGTTTTTTGTTAAACAGTGAGAACAAAATCATTTACTGGAATACAAAGCTAAGAGCTGAATGAGCATGCCACTTAGGGAGAAAGGGGGGATTTTCATAGAACCAGGATTTTCCCCCATCCCATCTCCACTAGATATTGATCAAAACATACCATTGGCCAGTTAGTTTATAAAAAAACGAACAACAAATAAACCCGCAATAGGCATGTCCACATGCACCAGTTACTTTATGTATAATCAAAGAATAGTGAGGGGGAAATGAAAGAAGAGAGAAAAAAAACTATACTGTAGAATCAGGAGGTGCTGGAACCCAATTGTGGTTTTCTAATTGAGAATGTATCCTTGATGTGTAGGAAAAGAGTTCTGGAGTAAAACAGCAGGCTCCTCTGTTTTTATTTTTAGAAGAAACCTCCTGTCTGCTGCTGGAACACGTCAGTTGTATCTTCATCTTCCATATCTGTGCAGGTGTATCTGATTCATTGGTTGGCTGTCCATCTAATCGGAATCTAATCTGCCTCTAATCTGCCTCATTGACAAACCCTGTCATTCACAATAAGCTTTCATTAGTTTACTAAGTGGTGTGCACGCCTCTTAATTTTGAACTGCACCACAGAACTATCCTGTCCCACCACTTCCACATGAATTTGATCATTGTTCTCAGTCTTGACTCCTTGCTTGGGTTTCTTGTCAGCCGTGGCAAGTGCCAGAGTCTCTTCACCTCTCAGCTGCTACTTCACATAAGAGGTACCAGGTCCACACCGAACAAGCACACAAACAGCACCTGTTATTTGTACTTTTGTTATTATATTAGATAATCTATTTTAAAGTCTAGACTTCATTGCCTTGCCCCTGTATTTCCTTCTAAGAATTTTATGGTTTTAGTTTTCACATTTAGGTCCTTAATCCATTTTAAATTTGGTTTTGTGTATGTTATTAGCTTGCTTTTGTGTTGGATGATAGACCACTCAACTTTTTCTTAAAAATTGTAGGGCTCTCTATAATAGGGGAGATTAGTCAGTTGCCTGTGATCTGGGTTACAAAGATTTCCACCCCCCCCCCATTGTTTTGTTTCCTTTTTTACTTTCTCATTTATCTTCTTGATTTAATGTCCTAGGAAAGCTACTCTTACTCCAAGATTACAAAATAATTTTTCTATGGTCTGATCCATTTTGTATTCATGCTTATTGAGGTATAAAGTAAGGCCCCAACTGTACTTTTACTTATTGTTCCTTTTTTAAAAATTTTACAACTTATATGTAAGTTTAAACTGATTTCAAAGTGAAGTTAAAAATAAGTTGTAAAACAGCAGAGATTCTGATTCCCTCAGCATTCGTGTCAGAGACTTGAAAGGGGCTCACAAGCCCACTCCCCTTTGATGAAAACAGGGAGGACAGCCAATCTTATGAACCCAGCCTGTTCCCCACGCCCCCCAATACCTACAGAACTTCCAGGTGACCTATGCAAAGAAGACCCCAACAGAGTGCTGCACGAGGCATGCAGGACAGATGGACACGTTGCTCAACTGTATAGGTGGTCCCAACATCCTGTTAGACAGTGAGACATCAGACACCCACCACCACTAAAACCACTGCCGCCGCCGCCGCCACCACCACCACCACCACTTGCTTTTCTCTTTTGGCAAAAATACAAAGAGAAATCTTGGCAGCTTCAAGAAAATGATGTGAACATCAGAAAATGGAAAAAACCAAACAGCAGCCTAGGCTCAGACCCCACTGGGTGAGGCCGAGGCCATGTGTCAAGGCCCCTAGAGGAGTAACTTGAATGAGGCCCAACTGTTTACACACGCACGCGCGCGCACACACACACAAGCCAGGAGGCCCATCTCCTACAGTGAGGGGAACAGGGTGCGGGCTGTGGCTTGTACACATGCTTGCACACACACACAAGAAGGCAGGAGGCCCATCGCTACAGTGACAGGAACAGGGCGTGGGGCTGGGCCTTGCACACATGTTAGTATGCACGCTCAGGATGGGCAGGGAGTAGGCACTCTCTACCTGGGGACAACGGGAGGCAGCCGTGAGGGCCTCACCGAGGGGCTGGCCTGAGGAGACACAGTGGATGAGGCTGTGTGTGTACCTGGTTGGCCGTCCAGGCAGCTCTGCCCTATGGTCAGTCAGGGGCTTTGTCTGATCCATCACCCGCCTCCTGAGGAGGTGGCAGGGAGAATTCCAACTGTAAAGGTGGCCAGGAGGATGTTTGGTGGCACTGGGTGATGCTCAACCTGCCGAGGGCCATCTGTCCTTCCCACTGAGGGAGCTGGCTACTCAGACGAGGCCTGTGGTGTGCAGAATGGCCCAGGGAAGGGGCTGACCCATAACGACATGCCACACTTGACAGTTGACAACATCGCCTTGAAGGGGTCAGTCTGAGTGACAGCAGTCACCTACACAAGCTTGTGCACTCACTCCAGCACAGAGCCCCCCCACCGACCCCAGAGGACAGTCTGGAGCCTCCGTACTGGGCAGGAGGAGCTGAGAGGAGGCAATGAAGCAGAAAGGAAGATAAAAGAAGCAGCCTCCTCCACTGGGGTGTCTAGGGTCGTGGAGTGGTCAGGGGTAGGAGGCCAGCCACAGTTGGCCTCTGCTAATTCCTCAAGGCTGCCAGCCTCCGTGACAGCTGGTTCTCGTGGCCACTCACAGGGCTCTTGCCCACAGCAGAGGCCCCCTCGGGAAGCTGGCTTGGCTCGTTGAGGACTTCTAGGCTGTTCTCTGCACTTTGCATGATGAGGCTTTCCACCTGCTCCTGTGGTCTGGTCAGTCTGGTGGCAGAGCTCATGGACTCATCCACCACTGAGGTGTGTGCATCCAGGTTCTGGACCTGCTGTTCAAACTTGTCCATGACTGCAGAAACTTTCTGTAAATCCATGGCACTCAGGCCTTGTCCAGGACCTTGGTGACTTGGGCCATATTTTTAGTCACCCCCCACTTCATAGTCACAGTCTGGACATTGAAGGCCACAGTGGCCATGCAGGAGGCCATGTACAGGGAGTTCATCACCGTGTTCTTGTGGATGGCTTTCTCAGTATACACGCATGCTCACTCCACAAGAGCCTTCTTCACTTTGACTTGCTTGGCCTTGGACTTCTCCACCTTCTTGGCCTGTTTCTGTAGTTGCTTTGCTGTGAGCTGAGGATGGATGCTGGTCTGAGGTAGTACTTTAACTGAAACATTATCATTCATGTCTGTTGCTGGATGTCTGCACCCTCAGAGAGGAGCGTACAGCAGTGCTTGGGGGTGTGGTGGTGCTTCGTGACAACAGCTACCTTGTTGTTCTCTTGTGCTTATGGGAAAGAGAAATTAAGAAAGATAACTGCTAGATTTTGAGCAGCTAGGAGATACTAAAAGAACCCACAAACTCGTAGCCATCAAGTGGGAACCCATTTATAGCTGATTTTCCAGAAGGTTTTCTGAGGTTGTAAATTGCTTGAGGCGACATTGTTCATCTTTCTCCCACACAGCAGCTGGTGGGCTTGAACCACCATAGGAGCACAACCTTTGTGTTAGCAGAGAAACCCATTTACTGAGCTGGAGCTCAGCTCGTGTTTATTCTTATCCTCATCCTACCAGTTATTTACTAGCTATTTGAGCCAACTCTTCTGAGTCTCCGTTTTCTTAATTATAAAAACCGTTTGCCTCACCAGGATTATATTGAAAATTAAATGACATAGTATGTGTAGATACTTTTTTTTTTAACTCGGGGGTTGGCAAACACTTCCTATAAAGGGTTGGACCGTAATTATCTTCAACTTTGTGGGCCACACAGTGTGTTAGAACTACTCAGCCTCTGCTCTAACCTGTAAATGTTTAAAATTGTTAATTTTTCTCTTCAGGCTAATGTTATGCTTGAATATGATATTGATGAAGCTCAGGCACTGTTGGAAAAGAACTTATCAACTGCCACAAAAAATCTTGATTCTCTTGAGGAAGACTTGGACTTTCTACGAGATCAATTTACTACCACAGAAGTCAGTATCCTTTTTTTTTTAAAAAAAGGGGGCAGGGGAGGTTAAAAAGGAAAAAGCTTTTTTAAAAAAAATACTCTTGTCTTGCTTTAATGAAAAAGTGTCCTTATTTTTTATGCTAGCATGAGATTACAAAATATAGAAGTTATAAATATTTGGAAGTAATACTTTTATTTATTGTACATGATTAATTGAAATGTGATGGTATGGGAATAACAATGTCAAGTTAGACCCAGAGTACATTTCTTCGAAATAATACTTTTCTGAGACTTTTTTTTTAGCTTATTAAGTAATTTGTTCCACAAACACCCATTAGATGTCTCCTGTGTTCATGTACTTGTGCTAAGTCCTAAGGGGCATAGGATTGGTAAGATAATCAATATGAAAAAGAGAGGGAATGAGTTGTTTTCTGTAAGAACTAGGTAAGTAAAACTGTTCATTTTATAGCACAATATACGTAAGCTAATGTATGCAACACCAAAGCAGTTTGAATTTGTTATTGTGCTGATGAATTGCTTCTGACTCACTGTAGGACAGAGTAGAAGCTGTAACCCTTTCGGAAGCAGACTACGCGAGCTTTCCGTGGGATTATTGATGTGTTTGAACCCAACCACTTTTTGGTTAGCAGCCAAGCACTTAACCACTGTGCCACAAGGGCTCCTTAATCTAAAGGTAGGGAAAGATAAATATGAGCTAGTTAGCTCAAGAAGACTTTGCTGAGAAGATAAAACTTGAGCAGCTTTTAAAGGCAGTGCAGGATTTAGACTAGCAAAGAGACATGCAGATAGGTTGTCTAGATGACTGAGCTCTTGCCTTTTCTCTAACTCGCTTTCTCTAACTCACTCTCCTTTGGGCTTCCTGCTGAAGTCACCCAATACAAATAGGCGAAAGTCATTCTTCACTCTTCTGTCTTCCTTACCACTGAGATTCAATCACCTGGGGGATTTTGGTCACATTTTTCTCCTAATTGTTTTTCCAGTCAAGCCCTCTGTGCCATTGTCATAGCTTCAGTTGACAACTTCAGCCTGATAACTTTTTCAGCTTCTCTTCCTCCCGTCTGTCCTTCATATTCTCTATAGCACTATCTCTGGTAAAAATTACTATGTGATTCCTTGTCACAAGTTAGATAAACACATAGCTGCTTTACAAAGTGTCCTCAGCCATTCTCATCTCACGCTAGTTAACCCTTCCTGTTCTGACCCAGTGTGCTCTGTGTGTCAGTAACACCAATTAATTATTAGTTACTACTCTGGTGGCCTAGGGAGCTCTGTAGGGAGTTGCCTTGGTAACCTAAAGGTTACTCGTTCAAATCCATGAGCATCTCTGAAGGAGAAAGATGAACAGTCTCCTCCTGTGCGGTTCACAGCCTCTAAAAGCTTGCTGGAGGGTCAGCTAGGAGTCAGTTCCAACTCCATAGCATGAGCCGAGCTGAGGTGTTGTTTTTTTCTTTTTTATTAACACGTTGCTGTACACTTTTTAAATTGACAACTGTGCTTAAAAACACATTTGCCGTCATTTGCGGGAGTTAATCATTCTCTACTTCATATAGCACATGATGGGTACTAAGTACTTGTATGAGGGATGACATCTGTGAGATGACTTAGGGCCAAGGCAAGGGCAATGTTTATGAAAAGGAGTGAGTCTAGAGACTAGATAGCTATCAGAGCGATGTGAAAGGTAATCACCAAGATGTGCCCTGCAAGCATGGAAAAGCTAGGAAGATGTGGCATGGGAATCTTACTGCTAAGAACGATTGTACTAAGACTCTGAGGGAAGGACTTCACCCACTTTATTCAGATGTCCATTGCCTCATCTGAAAAAGTAGGATTTCATAAATTGCATGAAGGTCTTGTGAAGGTAATAGGAGAGTAAGAAAGAACATTATTAATAATTGTACTAATTTAAATATCACATTATTGAATGATTTAAGTATGAAATGCTCTTTGAAATTTTAAGATGAGGTACTATTTTTAAAACTCAGCAATGCCTATCACATATTTCTTAAATATGCCATATTTTATTAGATATGCTAAACAATTAATGGTTTCATTTTAATGGAATTTCATTACAGTGTTTTCTTAGCAGTCAATCGTATAGCAAGATGACTTACAACACAAGTTGATATTGGTATTTGTGTGGATAATTTTTGTGCCTTCAGAATTGCATTTCCATTTTCTTTAACAATTCTTGCAGATATGGCCAGGGTTTATAATTGGGATGTAAAAAGAAGAAACAAAGATGATTGTACCAAGAACAAAGCATAATACTGGCAATTAGAAAATATAGTTCTGTTTTCCAAACACATGTTATCTTAAGTACCTCTAAATTTATCCTTAAAGATTGGCATAACATTGAATGATTTTTTTTTAGCAGCAAGAATGAGGATTAAAACTTTTTTAAAAAGATATATACCATTTTGCCTATTTATAAAAACAAAAATAATTTTCAATATTTTACTAAATTAGTACTACTTTAATTTTTTTCACATTTCCCAGTAAAATAAATGTTTAGTTCATCACATTTTGTCTGTCATAGAAAGACCTGAGTTTCAGTGACCCCAAACAATGCTGGATGCTAGCCCAGTTTACTTTTCATTATTGGCTATTGTTACTCTGACTTGATGTGCTTAAACTAGGTTACAGGGAGGAGTATGTGCACATTTGGAGTCTGAGTTTTCTTCAGCCCATGTGGAGTATTTTTGATTCTGTCGTCCTTGGCTTGTCTCATTACTTTCCACATAGGAAGAGAGCTGTGAGACCATGTTTCTTATCCCAAATAAATGCACGATATCTTTGTGACACCAACATAAGAGACTTCAGTGTGAATGTACTAAGATAACCTGTTCAGCACTCTTGACTAACTCAGTTTTATATTTATTAACAGTTCTTCAAAGAAATTTAACAGAAATACTAAAACTCAATCTGCAGTGGGAAAAAGTTGTAAGCTTTTAAAATTCATTTGTCTAGAATTAATTTTAAAAATTCTTATAGAAATTTATTAATATAGTGACTAGTACTAGTTGATACAGATTCTGGTAAAAACTCAAATGCATTATTCTTCATGTAATAAAAACTTGTACAATGTTTTGTACTTGTGTTTCATAACATTAAAGCAATGGAGTTCAAACTGTGGCATGACACCTTTTTTCATTGTTAGTGTTTCTAAAGTTGGACTTTTTCACATATTTGTAAAATTTATTTACTTGTACTGATAACTAGCATGTCCAAGAACTTAGGTTTATAGAAACAACATAAAATCTTTAGAAGGAAGGTATATAAACAAGCAATTGAGATGTTAGTCTGACCGATACCTAAGTTCCTTGATTTAGCTTTGCTTTCATGATTTTATTTTCAATTCTCATATTTTAGAATTTGAGCTTTATAATCATATTGACTTTGTGAATCATAACATACTATGGCTAACATTGAGAAGAATGGGAATTTCAGAACACTTAATTGTGTTCATGCAGTACCTAGACCATGGTATGAATGGAGCTGTAGTATGAATGGAGCAAGGGAACACATGTTTTAAAATCAAGAACCATGCACATCAGAAGTATATCCTTTCTCCTCTCCAGTCTGTATGCTGAGAAAATAATTCACAAAGCTGGACTTTATGAAGAAGAATGTGGCATCAACTCATGAACAGTCTGCATTATGCAGATGACATAACCTTGCTTGCTGAAAGTGAGGAGGACTTAAAACACTTATTGCAGAAGCTCAAGGCTACAGTCTTCAATATAGGTTACATTGCAACGTCAAGAAGACAAAAATCCTCACCACTATACTGATAGGAAACATGGTAGAGAAAAGATTGAAACTGCCATTAATCTTACTTGATTTTGCATTTAGCACCGTTGGTGTACCATTAGTCAGGAGATCAGGGGATGTATTGCATTGGAAAAATCTACTAAGCAGGGAAACAGTGATGATTTTTCAGTTCTAACTACTTCCTTTTAGGCCGGATAGGGATGGAAATCAGGCTGTACTAACTCTAACTTATAGTCACTAATCTCACTTCTTACTAAAACTTCTAATCAACCCACTACATGCCTGACTAGAGCCACTGATCAGTTAGTCTAACTGTACCTGTTACTGAAACACTAATCACATCCCTGAGCAAACTGAATTCTGGGAAACGGTGATGAGAGGCATGGAAGCAAAATTACCATTTCTGGGTCTCAAGTTATGACTGGGCAGTCAGAATGCCACTCCTACTGTGGCTTCCACCTCTGCCTAACTTGAGCTCTGTGCTCAGCAAGAGACTCCCTTCACTTTAGAAGAACAGCATGAGGGAACTCTGATGGCCTAGTAGTAAAGTAACGCAGAGACAGGTGGTTTAAGTTGGTTCCAGCTAACTGGAAATGAGTTTGAGGTGGTTGGTTTGGTTTTTTTAAAAATAGGTGATGTACCAAATATCCCATGTACTGCTAAAAGAACAAACAAGTTGTAGGAAGTGAAACTGGTATGTTCCTTAGAGGCAAGGATGGTAGAATTTTATCTCACCTACTCTGGGCATGTTGTCAGGAGGGCCAATCCTTGGGAAAAAACATCAAGCTGGGAAAGGTGGATGATCAGAGGAAAAAAAGAATACCCTCAACAAGATGGATTGACAGTGACTAACAGTGGGCTTCAAGTATGTCAGACATGGAGAAGATGGTGCAGGAGAGGGCAAGATTCAAATCTCTTGTTCATAGGGTCACTGTGGGTTGTGGTCAACAGTACTTAACAACTACAATAGCTAATGGTTGAGCATTTCTTCATGGTTTGTGGAGGTTTTGTTGGTCATGTGAATGCCTGGTGAAGTGTCTGTTTATGTCTCCTTCCCATTTTGTATATGAATTTGTCTTTTTCTTGTTGAGGTATTGGAGTATTCTATGTATTTTAGAGATTAATACCTTATTAGTATCAAATGTTTTATAGACTTAAATCTTGACATGAGTCAAAAAATATCAAGGGAAATGTTTAAACGCAGAAGAAAGAAAGAAAGAAGGGGATGGAAATCAAACCCCAAGACGAGAATTCTTTGATGGTTACTGGGGTTGGAAGGGGAGGATGTAAGAGGAAAAAATCACTTAAGGACAATAAATAAATAGCAAGCAGGTTAGGTGGTATACAAAAGAGGTGATTTGGTATAATATTATCAGGAAGTTACTGGGTTTTTTTAGGGGGGTAAGGAATTACTGTTTTGAAGATTTAAAACAAGATCATACATAAAGGCTACCATTTACAGTAAAGATAAAACTTTTGTAAACATATATCTTCTAAAGAGACTCTGAATATTGCGCTAGAGTGCCGAGAAGCTAAAGCAAACGGAAGAAATCAAGATATTAAAGGAACCGAACAGAAGATTTCAAAGGGCAGCATCGTGATGGATGGTGAAGAGACCGAGATTGTAAACACCTTTAGTGTGCTTGGCTCCATAATCAGCAGTCCTGTCACCAGCAGTCAGGAAATTCAAAGATGTATAGCGTTGAGAAAGTCTGCTGTCAGAGTCCTCTCCAGAGTACTGAAGAACAGTGATGTCAGTCTTGAGACCAAGGTGAGCATGATATAGGCTATGGTCTTTGCAATCACTTGCTATGCATCAGAGAGCTGTACAATGACTAGGGATAATAGAATTGATGCCTTTGAGCTGTGGTACTGGAGAAGAGTAGCGAATGTACCATGGACTGCTAAGAGAGCAAACAGATTCATCCTGGAGAGGGTGAAATCAGGCTGCTCCTTGGAGGCAAGGATTCTGAAGCTTTATCTGACATACTTTGGACATGTTGCAAGGAGGGACCAGTCCTTGGAGAGGGACTTCATGCTTGGGAGGGTGGAGGGACAGTGCAGGAGAGGAAGAAGACCCTTGATGAGATGTTTTGCTTCAGTGACTGGAGTAATAGGGGTAGGTGTGTCAGAGACAATAAGATTGGCACAGGATAGAGCAGGGTTTAGGGCTGTTGTACATAGAGTTGCTATGAGTCACAGGCGACTCGATGATACATATCTGCTGAATATCATTGTTTCAATATATAAAGTATCAGAAATGGGAGGGAAAACAGAAATATGGGAGGTTTTTTTCCTAATAAGATCATTTTATTATAGCAGAATCACCATATTCTGTCTTGAAAGTTGAGATATGATAGGAATGACATTTTTCTGAAGAAAAACAGAACATCCGTGACACAAACTCAGCACTTTTCATTGCTTGCTTGTAACAATTATTCCAATTTTAGATAGTATGGATTTTTAAATTTAGCTTTATTTGAGAATTGAGCTCCCTTAAACATCCCTTCTTTTAACTGAAGAAATATGATGGGAGTCTTAATACAATATTTAGTCCTTGCTATTGATGCTAATTTAATATAAAATTTTGCCTATTACAGATCCATTTTTTAAAAAGCATTTTCAATAAGTGAGTATAAATTGAGTTAATGATGCAATTACATTTCCAAAAGTACAAAACATCTGGACCGACCACATGTTATGGCCATAACTCAGATAAATTAGAAGTTAATAATTTTTAGTGGGAAAAATATATCTGAAAACACTTTAAAATGAAAAATTATACTAAAGATTTTTTAAGTAAAAAAAGGTCAAAACTAATTCAGACAATATAAAACTGCTAGAAGGTTTTACACGGGAAAAGGATGGGCAAGCTCCTCCGGGGCGGTTAACTGCCTCTGAAAACCCACTGGAGAGTCAGGTATGGATCAGTTCCAACTCGATGGTACTCAACAAGTGTGTTTTAAGGAGCTCTTGTTACAGTGGTTAAAACACTGCTGCTAACCAAAAGGTCAGCAGTTCAACCCACCAACCACTCTGAGGGAGAAAAATGTGGCAGTCTTGCTGCCATAGAGATTGCAGCCTGCTCTATTGTCGAATTTGCTGCTCAATTGCCATGGACTTGGTTTGATGCCCTCTAAAAGGAAGGCAGACACACACACAAGAAAAATGGTCATATGAAAGTAAGGTATTGTGATTAGGTGCCAATCATTTGGTTCTGACTCTGCAACCAATGTATTAGGAAAAAACATTGGCCTTCTGTGCTTGACCCAGTGTTTCGACCACTATATCAGTCTCTTTGAAAGGCTTTTCTTGGCTGACCCCTCTCCTTCCTTCTCCAGAAAGTGACCATTCTGATAACTTGCCCAAAGTATGTGAGATGAACTCTCACCGTCCTAAGGAGTGACAATGGCATTCTGGTTTTGGCAATCCATGGCATATTCAATACTCTACCAAACAATAATTCAAAGACTTCAGTTATTTGACCTTCATATTCATTGTCCAGCTTTTACATGTATATAAGGCAGTTGGGGAAAAAAACCAACCCTCCCCAAAAACCCTATGGCTCGAGTCAGGCACACCTTAGTCTTTAAATTGATAACCTTTCTCTTTAGCACTTTAAAGATGTCCTTTACAGCAAATTTGCCAAGTGCAATGTCCTGATTTCTTAGCTATTGCTTCCATGGGTGTTGACTGGACTCTAGTGAAGTGAAATCCTTTACAACTTTA